TGATTGCATCTTCATATAAGTACCAGCAGATGGCAGCCTCATTGTCACCATTCTCTGTTATCCCCAGGCTTCATTTCCACACATTATTTGTTTACCTGTTTCATCTGTGTCTTGTTCTCTTAGTACATTAACCTGTCTATTTAAATGCCTTTCACCCGCATTCATTATGAAGTCTTGTTTTGGTTCATGCTCTCTGTCAGCGTTTTCTTTGTTTATTGCTTCCTGAGTCATGGATTGCTTGTTCCTGTTTGCCCTTCATGGATTATATTCTGCTTGGATTCGGAAGTGTGCATTCAAAAACTTTTATAACGCTTGCGAAGTAAGTTCAATTCAAATGTATTACCTACTCATACAGTATGAGATGTTAAACTTATGTGTTTTGTATCCTCATTCCCACCTCAAACAACTTTTGTTCTTATTTCCCAAAATAAAGCATTCCAACTGGGTTAACTTTGCCGACGTTATATTAATATTATCTCATATTATACTCATTTTCAGAACACACCTGCCGTCCAGGAAGTCCCATCGGGCCTAAAAAGCCTGGGGGACCATGCTCACCCTGAAAAAAATAAAATAAAAATAATAATAATAATAATGTGCCACTGACCTTTAGTATGGTGATAGTTTAGTGTGGTTAAAGTAATTAATAAATTCTGGATTACCTTTGTTCCATTGCATCCTGGGAGACCAGGAAGCCCCCTCGGCCCCTCTTTTCCAGGGAACCCCTAAAAGAGGAAAACATGATACTCACAAAATTATATTCTCTGTAAATATTAGCAAAGCAGCAATGATGGCGTTACAAAGTAGTTTTTATGACATACTGTAAGTAGCACCTGGTTTCCTCTAAGCATTTTGGCCAGAAACGGATATATACACTCTAATGCAAGTAATTAAGCAATACGTTTTCAAAACTTACTGGTAGTCCCGGTGGTCCAAAGAATCCTGGCGTCCCTGAAGGTCCCTTATTGAGAGAATGAGAACGGGAGAGAGATTTGCTAATGTTCAATTATACTGCAAGTGTCACCGGAAATACATTAACACACTCACACACTCCGTACCCTAGAACCTTTATGCCCGTGCATGCCTGTGCTTCCCATGTATCCCTGTGTGATAAAAAAATAATAATAATTATACATTTTATTAACATTAATCAGTGCTCGAATACAGAGTCTATACAGCAATCAATCTGTTTATATGTTGTTGAATATCGAAAAGAGACTCTCAATCTCAGTATAAGAATATGGCAACATGTTATAATGTAAAGTCAAGCTAATTTTAGTTTTATAGCAAATTTCACATGGACGTACACAAAAATATTGCAGTAACAATGTCTCAAATTATGTAAGCAAAATAAAGAAGTGTGAAGTCCGCACACTGAAAGTTACTGCTCCAAAAATGTATTAAAAAGCAACATTTCGACCCTCAGGTCTTCATCAGGGACCTGAGGGTCGAAACGTTGCTTTTTAATACATTTTTGGAGCAGTACCTTTCAGTGTGCGGACTTAACACTTCTTTATTTTATTTATAACACTCAGTTGTCCTGCACCTGAGCCCAATTTGGGTGTTTGGGATGTGCACACCAGCTTTGTATTTTTTGACTCAAATTATATAAGGTCACCATTTAACAGTTATGCCTTAATATATTTGTCTACGTAAATGGCAAAGAACAAAAAAACTCCATAAGCACCAGATAGGAAATAGAGGAAAGTCTATTTTGTTCCTTTAAAAGCATGTGTAAGATTTAAAACGTTATATTTTATACATTTGAAACTGTGTGCTTGTAATGTTACATACAATTGGACCAGGAAGTCCAGGAGGGCCTTCCTTTCCTCGATGCCCCTGAACTCCCATTACACCATCCAAACCAGGAAACCCCATCTGACCCTGAGAGGAAGACAGATAAAGCAACAGTCGCTTTAAACAAAAAATTAATTAAGTGATTGAGATTGTAACAAATGATTTGATAAAAACGTAACTTTTAGGAAAAAAAGTAAGTACCCCTAACGGTCAGTACTTCTCCCACTTGAACTGTGTCCTTAGATCCCTATCATACCATCCCCCAAGACTCTTCACTGGGTTCTCCGAAACTGTTGGCATTGCCTCACCATTAATGAAGAATGTTTTATCTACATTTCCTTTAACTATCGAGATACTCCTTGATTTAGAGGGCTTAAATTGCATTCGTGCCCATTCGATATTATCTGTTAACTTCCCCAATAACCGATTAGTGCAGGCTACTGTTGTAGTCATGGTTGTCATGTCACCCATATTTGCTCTGATTGGTGGTAATCGCATCCCAGAAGTCAAGCACTCTCCTCCTACCACCCATCTTGATGCCTTAAAGGGTTAGTTCACCCAAACATGAAAATTCTGTCAGTATTTACTCACCCTCATGTTGTTCCAATCCTCTGTGTGTTTATTTGTTCTGCTGAACACAAAGGAAGATATTTGGAAGAATGTTTTAATCGAACAGATCTCATTCCCCATTGACTTCCATAGTATGGGGAATGAGATCAAACAGATCTCATTCCCCATTGACTTCTCATTCCCCATTGACTTCAGAAGATCTGTTTGATTAAAACATTCTTCCAAATATCTTCCTTTGTGTTCAGCAGAACAAATACATTGCCATGGTAAAGCCAGTGGGAGAAATGGTACATCCTGCCATTATTCCAACCTCTAAGCATTGCCATGTAGTGCTGAATTCTGGAGTTGAGAAACTAAACGGCAAATCTCCAAAATAGGCTTTCACTAAACTTATTGACATTGGTACTCTGAAAAAAATCAAATGCAGCCCAAAGAAGCTCATGTGGCACTGGACCATATGCATTAGCCAAATCCAGGAATGTCACATAAAGCTCCTTCCTCTCCTTTTTAGCTGACTGAATTCGTTGCCAGATAACATTGTGTTCCAAGCATCAAGAGATCCCTGAAAGTGATCCAAGAAAGCCATTCTTTAATAGGTAGGTGGAGAATCTCTGGGCAATAATGCTGAAGAAAATCTTACCTTACACATTTAATAGTGAAATAGAATCTTTTTCTTTACGACTCTACCTGCTCTGCGCCATGCTCTACAGTAGGTACAACCTGTTTTTCCCATACCACTTTGATGGCACTTGATTCTGTCGACAAGAGGACAAGTGAAAGAGTGATTCGGCTCGTTTGTGTCTCTGTACAGACTTCAGAAGGATCCCAGCGTCAGGAACAAGTGGATGGTTTATTGTAATGGTGTCCCGCATCACATCGGAGGATTATGTTTATTCTGAGCATTTGTTTTGTAAATGAGGCAAATTCCAATGAGTTCACAAAGAATCTTTTGAAGAATGAAGCAGTCAGCTGTATAGGATCTTACAGCAGCTGAATCATAAACTTTTACAATGCTTTGTCTGTAAATGATGGATTTATATGGCTTTCAAAACATTTACTCATATGCAAAAGCTAATGGGCATTGATACTGTTTCCTATGCAGTGACATTAGCCAATCATAACAGTGGCCATTTACTGACAGGCCTTAAAGTCCCCGTGAAATCAAAATTGAACCTATTTACTTTGTTAGCGCATATTACTAGTTTATTCTTGTGGTGAACAATTAATCCGTGCAAGTAAAAATATATTTAAAAAATGTTTTACCTTGGTAATCTTTAATCAAAATCTGAAAAGTTACTTCCGGTCTGGAACGGTTTCTTTTTCTGATGACGTAGGTTTCACAGTTTGGGTGGGGAAACGCTTAACCACTCCCCTCAAACCGTTAGTTTGCTATGAGCGAGAGATGGAGAGGAGGAGCGCTAGAGTAAAACCCTGCCCTCTGTTCAATATTCCGTTTCACTTGGAAATACGTCACAGCACTGGAGAAAAATCGTTTGCAACTTCCGGTTCACGGGGACTTTAAAGGAGCCCTTAAAAACATATCATTTCAGACAGATGGTCACAATGAAGGTTGAAAATAATAGTTTTTTTCGCATATATATATTTATTTGGTTTTTTTGTGGGGAAGAAAAAACCTCCCAGCAAACAAATTTAGGTTCTGGGGAGGTTTCCAGAATGTTCCTAGAACTTTCCCTTAAGGTTAAGGGAACGTTCCCTGAACATTCTACTTACGTTATAAAAATGGAACCTAAAAATAACCTACATGGAACGTTCCTATAACGTTCTTGTTTGGTTCCCAAAAATATAACCCCATGGGACCATTCGGGAACGTTAGGAGAATGTTCTGTGTTTGCTTGGCTTATCCATGTCATGACCCCTTCAAAATCTGTTTCACTCCAGTGTTGAATTTTCTGTTGTAGACACGAGGGTTTATTATCAAATTGTTAAAGATGGTAGTAAACATGTCATCAGAGAGGGGAGGGGGAATTAATTTGATTAAATTTTACAAGGGCATGTGACTTAAAAAAAAGAAAAATTATGATATGCAATTGATAATAATAATTATTGCAATATTCCATTACAAAAAATATTAGAATTGTCAGTTTTGATTTAAAGGAGAGTGTTTTACATATTCAGTTCAACACTATCTCACGACCAATTCGTACGAATTCGACGCATGATTAAAAAGTGTCTAATTCGTACTACCTCACTCGTACTAATTCGTACGATTTGTCTAAACCGACGTGACGGTTAGGTTTAGGGGCGGGGTAAGGGGTAGGTCATTCGTACGAATTCATACGAATTGGCCAATTCGTAAAATATGTACGATTTAGCAAAATCGTATTAATTCGTACGAGTGAGGTCGTATGAATTGTTACGAATTAGCCACTTTTTAATCATTCGTCGAATTCGTAAGACTTGGTCGTGAGATCGGGTTGATTCAGTTACGTTTGCTCTTATATTTGCTTTCAAAGACTTCTAGTGTATTTTGACATTAATTTATCATCACAGACGTTAAACATTAATTTACTCATTTGCACTGTATTTAAGTTGGTCTCACCCTTCAGTTGTCGGTTCTTACCTGTGTTACTGCCTTCCTGTTTAATAAACCTTGTTTTTATTTTTATATCCAGGCGTCGGACAGTGACTTAAAAATAGGTGCATGATGCCCTTAACTTACACAAATGGGACGGAGGAGAACTTCATCAAAGCTCAACTGGGTAAATTTGCAACTTTTTGAAGCATATTTTCAAGATTATTTGCATTCATCAACAATGTAGAGACCATAAAAAAGAGGAACGTCTGCAAAATAGATCCATGGACATATCTTTTAGGAATTAACATACCATGACAGTTATGCCAAACTGATGTGTATAGAGAGAAGTGGGACTCTAACACAGGTAGACACATACAGAGGAGCAGATGCGTGACTTATAATGCTGATAAGTTTTCTGTAGCTTTGGGCATCAATGGTGTAGCACAGCTCATCTGATACGGACACCTGGGTGGCCAATACATCTGTCAAGTCACCTCGAAATAGTCATGAGGCCACCCACCACCACCAGACATATTTTACTTCTTTCTCTTTTGAACCTGGTGACCCAATCTGAAGATTCAAAATTCAAACGTTTTATTTCTACACCAGTTATTGTTTATCATGAACGACTCCTCCACCTCTTGTTTTACCAGACTCTTCTATTCTATCCATGCGGTAGACAGAGAAGTGTTCGGCCGGAGTAACCGCTGTGTCCGGTCCGGCCGTTGTCGTTGTCCTCGACCCTCAGTGTTTCGACATGCCACGACAGAGAGTCGGATAAAAGGTCAGTAAAACTGCTTGTTTGCAGCATTTTTATGCGAAAAAGTGCATCTCTGTCATATTGTAACATGTCCAGAAAAGAAAAAAGTACAAATAAATAAAACACAGTCATACTGGAGCAGTCACAGCGGTCTCTGAACACAGTCGCACCACCAGCCAATCTTCAGAATTCCCGATCTCATGCCTCAATGTGCCATGCAAAGTGTAGGGATCAAATAGAAGTTGCGATAGTCTTTTCTTACTACTGTGACAAATCTGAGCAAAAAAGCTTCTTGAACAAGTAAAGTCATTACAGGAGGACACATAAATTAAAAAAAAAAAATAATAGTAATAACAAAAAATTATAATATATTGCACTGAATTATTCCACTTTATAGTAGGTGTCTTCAACTATGTTCTAACATTTAAATTAGTAATTCGATACAATACACTTACTGTATACATACATGATTTTACACTGTACTTGTTCACTTAAAAAAAAAAAATACCTGCATGTAATTACAGCTGTAATTAATTTCTGTAATTAAAATCTATAATTACAAATTTGAGTCTTTCATTACACCTTAACCCAACCTTAAACCTAACCATACCACCAAACCAAACGTGCGCCTAACCCTGGTGGGTCCGTATCCCACCTCAATAGCAGCAAATGTTTTGCAATACAATATGAACACAATGAGTATGTTATACTGTGTTTTTTATATATAGATATAAATATACAAGCACATAGTAGTTAAAGGCACCTAATATAAGGTGTATAAAGTGTGAAAAAAAATGAGAATTGTCAATTTTGATTTAACTGCAGTGTTTAGGACATCCTCCTAGGACATTACTTAAAATGCAACTATAAGGTATGAAGATATTGAAATATAATAAACATTAGCATGATTATCTGTAAAAAAAAAAAAAAAAAAAAACACGTGTATTGTAAAAAACGATTTATAAATAAATTTGGCATGATTCCACTATTAAAGAGTAACTAAACACATAACCAACTTTTTTTAGTTAATGATCTGTAAGAATGGATCTTTATTAATACCAGTCATTGATTCGAGTAACTTTTTTGGCATTTGTTTATAAAGTGTTCTATTTCTACAATATATGGTGTAAAAACGTCTTAGTGCTGCCCTCTTCAGGTTGAACGGTGACTACTGCAGTTGAATTTTCCTATTGGATGTTTGCGGTGGTATGTGACACAGCGGTTGTTGGTGACGTAGGCAAGTTCCATACAAAGAGATGCGTCTCAGGTGCACGCCCCCCTCCAGTGGGTGGAGTCAGGCTCTGACCAGGGGTTTAATTACCCTTTAAAGGGACAGTTCACACAAAAAACAAAACAAAAAAAAAAAAATCCATTATCATTTACTCATCCTCTTTCTTCTGTTGAACACAAAAGAAGATATTTTGAAGAATGTAATAGAAAAGTTGATGGTAGCCATAGTATTTTCCCCCCACTTTGAAAGACAGTGTGCCATCAACTGTCTAGGTATAAACGATCTTCAAAATATTTTCTTTTGTGTTCAACAGAAGAAAGAAACTCGTTCAGGTTTGGAACAACTTAAGGGTGATAAAGTAATGACAACATTTTCATTTTATTGTGAACTATCCCTTTAAGTGGCAAATATGGAAACTTCAGCACCAGTAGTAAAAAAGAAACCAGAAGGGGGCAGCATTTACATTTCAATGTAAATATGAACATCCTTAGATGTTTAACTTGAGGAACTCTAGATAATTTATCACTAGCTCTGCTGATGTTTGGAACGCACTACAAGAATAATGGCGATCACTTAGCAATGTGTTTTGTGACATAATATAACATTGTCATCTGTTGTGTGGATATGATGTATGTTTGCATGTTCTGTTACCTTTTGTCCTTTAATTCCTTGACAACCACATTCAGATTTCCCACTGCAAACACACCCCTGAGGGGAAAAACACAAGCAAAACAACACTATGACTGCATGATAACAATAACAATAATAATTGCTCTCATTCAATAATTCTTCTCCCTTTCATTGAAAAGAATAGAAGGCCACCTAAAAGCGGGGAGGTGAAAAAACATAATCTAGTCTAAATCTAGTTGTTTTATAGCATCTTAATATTAGGATTTCTGAGTTAATTGACTGAAGGCATGAATATGCCCAAACAGACACACACAATTTAAATGGAATCACATAATCAAGCAATGCATAAAATGCGTGGCTTTAAGGAATGCCAGGAGTTTAACCAGCTCTCTGCATGAACTTGCATTGTAACAGATGAACGACAAGGATGTGTTCATGGCATCTTGCCGTACGAGATCTTAGACTCCTATATCTCTTTGAAAGGTATATGCTGAATGGTAATGCTTCTTTTGACAACAACAGAAATTGAGAAATGGGTGTTTCTTAATTGAAAAAAAAGTTAATGTATCTGTTTACCAATGAGACAACAGTGTGTGTGAAGACCACACTTGAGATAAAATATCATGATCTGTGAAAACATAAAAATAAAACAAAATAGGCTATATATTACTTTTTTTCCCCAAATTATGCAAAAAGAGTGAAAATAATTTAACCTTCATCCTTCCCTCGCATCTCAAAGCCAGTCAAAATGACCTGAAACACAATTATACTAATTTGTAATATCATAATATTTTTTATAATATATGTTTTTAGAGCAATTTTGGGAAATTTTTTTAAATCTTTAAATTTCTAGATGAAAAGTAATATAATCTAAGCACATTCTTAAATTCAAAATAACTCTCCAATATATGCATTAACCATCTCAAAGTACAAATCTCACATTGGTTTAATGGAAAAAAATAATAATACAACATATTTCATGACTCTTTCCACTAAATGGCCTTATAGCTCTACAGTATATGGAACAAATGAGCTGTTACGCTCCTAAAGTCAATTATATTCTCTTTACGAATTCAGATATCCATGTAGACATTTAAAAAAAATAATTCTTTGGTAAAGTTTATAATTTGTATAATTAAAAAAAAAAATAATTGTATGTACTGTATACTCAAGCATTCCTTGCATTGCATTCATTCCTAAGGGGGTAAATTTGATGCTCAAGGGAAGGATTTGTTACTTTTTGTATTGCAACCACATAAACTCCTCGAATCCAGTAAATTTTGTGTGTATATTTGTGGTTCAAGTGCGAAAAAAGTCCTAACGTCCTAGACCACTCCGATAGTCAAAATGGCCAGGCGATGGAATGAAGGTGTGTATTTTTATCCAGTGCATGAAGCCTTAACAAGACAAAAGAGAATTTTATGTCAATGTTAATATATGAAGAGTTCAGATGCAAAAGCCTCTAAATGCCATTTGAAATTTTCTTCTTTAATGATGATTTTTATCAAACTTGTATATTTAAGTTCAGTAATTTCACTTAAATAACAATTATTGCAATTTAAGTGAAATTACTGAACTTAAATATACAAGTTTGATAAAAATCATCATTAAAGAAGAAAATTTCAAATGGCATTTAGAGGCTTTTGCATCTGAACTCTTCGTATGTTCCAAAACATAATGCTATTAAGCACAACAGTACATCTTTTGAAAGATGTGGTTGAAATGTTAATGACTTTCAGAATAACAAGAAGTGTCCATGCATTGTTTATAAAAATACAAAAACATCTGATTGTAGATTTGATCAGATACACACGGAGGACCTGTCTGTCTCACGTTCCTTGAACTCACAAAGACACAACATGTCTCCTGATGCTCTCAGATCAGAAAAACTATTTGTCGTTGGGGCAGCCTGTTTTTCAGATTGTAACCAAATCTGTCTGGCATTGTGTGCATTGTCTATCTGTGGTTCTGAAGAATGGGAAATATGGTTTATATGTATTTGGTGTGTATGGGTTCAAGTATAGGCCTGTATGATCCGTATCAGTCTAGAATGGATCTGAATGTGCTGTGATGCCCCTGAAACAGATGCCATAGCACAGATACCATCAGGACAGGCTAGGTTCAGATTCAGACATCCATTCCATTTTCTCCTGCAGAAAGAGAGAGAGAGATGAAGACTAGGAGAAGAGGAAGATTTTTCCCCCTAGTTTCACAGACAAGGTTTAAGCTAGTCTAAATCCAGATTAAAATGCATGTTTGAGCTGAAAGCCACTTACAAATGTGTCAGTGCCATTGTTTTGTCTCAAGATATACACCAGTGATGTGTCTTTATAAGGCACAACTGAACTAAGGCCTAATCCTGGCTTAACCCAAGCCCTGTCTGTGAAACCGGGCCTTCATCTCTTTGTGTTTCTGATTTTAGTGCCTGAACTATGACATTTTCAAAGCAGTTTCTGTAATTTGGGTTGCTATCATTCATTATTTTATTTTTTTCTGTGAGAGAAAGCGTATAATAACAGGCAACTAACAAAGGCCTTGTTTACACGAGTAATGCTCGTATTAAGATGAGTTTTGGTCGATCGGATAACAAGTGGACGAGGGAGACACTTTCCCGTTTACACGCGGTATTTAATCCATCTCTTTTGTCCACTTTCAAAAACCCATATGTTGATTTATTTCATGGGAGGGTCCATGCACTCAAAAAAAGAATATGTTGGCTTTAATTAATTTTAATTTGTCAACAGGTTCCACATAACTGGGTTACGTTAAACAAACATAATTTGTTTATGTACTTCAACATAATGGAATTGTGTCATTTTAAATTACCCGATTTATGTAGTCTCAACGTGAATTTTTAAAGGCTTCCTGACATGATTCAAAGGCATTTCATTTTATTCATTCATCCATTTATATTTCATTTGATTCAGTGACATTTAATTATATTAATAGACTTTAGCTAGCTATTAGCTAGCAGGAGCACATATTAGCATCTTGAATGCTAAGATTTACATGCTCCTTCATTCAAAGCAATAGAAAATAATGAAATGTCGACAGGCTAACAAAATGCTCCACTCTTCTCCACAATGGTAACCCACTGTAATTTAAATGGTTTAATAATTCCAATGTAATTTAACATTAAACACTATTACACACTATCAA